GAATTCAGTAATAATTGGCTTACTAATCTAAAAATTTCTACTTTATCATCTATTATTTTAAATACGCGCAGTTCACGTGAGACGCGCGCTGCACGAGTAGCAAGTTCTTTCTACCTAAATCAGAAGCGATCACGAAAATCACGAATCACTGAAAACTCACCGTGATTGGGAACGAACGTGATCGAATCACGAGTGATCCGAAAGTAGCAGTTTTAGCCATCACTATAGTCCGAAGGCAAGCGTGAACCGACGCGTGACAGCATACCCCAGACATGGACCTGAAGGACGGAGTATAAACTGCTTTTATAGATGAAGGGGGGTGAAGCTCCGTCCATGATGGGGGAACAGTCAAATCGGCCATTTTCTAGGAGCGATAAGTGGCACCGCCTGTCTGGAAAACTTATACAAATCTTGCACGCGCTAAAGCAAGCGTGTGTTACGGCTATGTACATACCCTAACAACACAGAATATTGCAGCAAAGTATCTTCAACATCACCACATTGCAATTGCCGTACAATGTTGCTGCAACATTCCAACAACAGTAAATTTATACTGGAATCCTGCGTTGCAATGCAACATTATCGTAACGTTACAGTAATGTCTCATCGACACTATTGGAAAAATATATAATTAATCATACAGAAGATCATAATCGCAAGCACAATTACAACGTAAAGGAATTATAGAAATACCATCTGTACTTTTAGAAATTCATTTATCGGTTTTATTGAATTTGTCCTCAATATGTACATACATCATACATTATTATTACATAATATTACTAAATTTTACATCAAGGGTCGAGACCATGTATCAACGTCAAGTTATTTACATTATACATCAATACGTCATTCAAGTGTAACATCATGTCGTATTGGCATTACATAACACCGAGATATTGAGTCTCTAATTTTGAACATTTTTTTTTCAAACAAACTCACTTTCCATCGAGATAATATTTCATTTTCGTCACAAATTTCGTAAATATACAAAAGTTTAGATGAGAGTGGTCGATTATATACTTCCAAAATAACTTTGTACTTGGACCCAACGAAAAAAATACCGTTATTTTCTATGTTAATTATATTCATAACATTTATTATAATATCATCTCTCAGAAGTACACAACTATTTTTTGAATAATTGCAATTTATACTCAATGTACTAGTCTGCAGTATTTTATATTGAGTTAAGTCGATGTTTTCTACATGGGCCATCAAAATGTTGGTTTTGGAGAATAAATTTATTCGATATGAAGAGATTTTCGAAACTTATAAGTTGCTTCGCTATATTATAATTATAAGAGCTGTTGTAGTGGTTTCTCTGGTTTTCTTATGTCGATTTTCAGTTTCGACAAAAAATTTTCAAAAGGGAATGCACTAAAATTATCTAATACTCCAAAATTTCTGACATCGTTGCATAAATGAAGAAGATTGTGAATATTGTGAGACATAAATCGTTTTCCGTATATAATTTCGAAGTTTTTAACAAAATAATTTAATAAAGATTCTGCGTATTTTATATTGAATTCTTCTTTTACCAATTGCGGACTGACTAAAATTGAGATAGCTACGTGTAAAGTTAAAAAATG